GCATGTGTGCACACTTTTGCTTTTAAAAGTTTTTAGTTTTAATTGCTTCTTCCTCCCACTAATTTCATTTTTTTCCTCCTTTTTCCTCCTCTGTGTATTTTAAGATAGGATTTTTTTACCTCCCCCCCTCTAACTTTTTTTAATATACCAGTTTAGATTCCTTTCCTTAGTATTTCTTACTTTTTTTCCCATTTAATAGCAATAGTTATAGTGCTAGTTTTAAAAAAAATTACACAGCACGCTGCAAAAGGTTTGTTTGTTTTTTTTAAAAAATTGTAATGTTTCCAAATCTAATAAAATGGTATTCATTGTTGCAGTATTTTTTTCTCCTTTTTTCAAGTTAAGTGTTTGTTTTAGAGTGTAAAAGCCACTAAGAGTTACATTGTTTGAATTGGGCATGTCAATCTTGAAAACAAACAAAAGAAATAGATTGTAGCAATACTGAGAACCAAACAACAGCATTTGTGTGTAATGTGTGTATGTACGTACATATGTCGGGTAGACATAGTAGAAATCCCACCATCCTTTAATCTGTGTTGAGGGCAGCTTTTGTGTAGTCACAGCTCTCGCCTGACTTTTCCATGCCTGCTGTGGGCAGCTCTAAATTTGTAATGATTAAGCAAAAAGGGGTAACTCCCCCGCTAATTTTTAAATTTTTACTTTTTTTTGAAAAGAATGCAGTCTGTCCAGTTGTTAGACTAAATAAAATAATCTCAGTGCCGAAGTGCGGGGAAACACTGAGTTGGTCTATTTCCTGCTGAGCCTGGCAGATAGCAAAAATAGGAAAGAGCTGGCACCAAAATGATAAGGCGGCCTTTTCCCTGTTCAGGATGTAATTAAACTTGGGAATTTTGCAAGATCCAGTAGAATAAAACCTTAGGAAATCCTTCTATATGCGGCCACTTGATTTAGGCTCCTTGTTGTCCCACTTACTGTTCTGGAGAACAATGAGGTGTCCAAATGTAGAGATTCTCAATCATGGCTGATTAGATAGGTTTGTTGTTATAGAAATGGCTAGCATATACGAACATATTAAAAAGTTTGACGTTTTATGTTATCGCCTTATTCTACTGCATCAAAAGGAGTCGGAAGTCCATGCTTTTCTTTTTCTTTTCCTCTTTACACATTTCCTCTTCCCCTTCTCCTCCTCTACTTCCCCATTATTCTTATTATTCTTTGTCCTTTTGTATTTTTTTAAAAATTTGATCGATATGCCGCCCTCTCTCCGGAGTCTCTCTCCGGAGACTCAGGGCGGCTTACAATGCACTAAGCAATAGCCTTCATCCTTTTGTATATTTATACAAAGTCAGCTTATTGCCCCCACGAACCGGGTCCTCAATTTACCTACCTTAGAAAGGATGGAAGGCTGGGTCAACCTTGAGCCTTGGAGAGATTCGAAATTACAGTAATTGCAGACAGCTGGTGTTAATCACAATGCTATCAGTCTGCTGAGCCACCAGAGAAACTAATAAAAATTTGAATTGGAGATGCTTAATTTTCCAAGTCATGGTTGTCCCAAAGGTTGCGTTTTCCAAAAGGCAATTGGAATTTCTTGGGGGGGGGGTTTCCCCCCTTTGAAAACATTTCACTTCTCATCCAAGAAGCTTCCTCAGTTCCGAAAAACTAAACTGAACTGAACCTGAAGAAGCTTCCTGGAGATCAGAAGTGAAATGTTTTCTCTCCCCCAAAAAAACAAAACCCTAAAAAGTCCAATTGCCTTTTGGGACAATGAGGTGTCCAACAATGTAACAACAACATTGCAGAGATGGTGCTTCAAGACAATTATTTTCTGGCCACGGTCAACGAGATAGTGTGACTTTGGCCAATCGAGACCGCATGCCTGAAGGACTTGCTTTAATTTAAACCCACAGCGAGCACTAATTTAATCAATGGAAAAAAGGGCAGCAATGTAATTGTGACCTAACTTTTCTCCTTTAGAGGGTTAGTTTTATTTTTAGCAGCTGTCCAAGTCCACCGCCCTGCCTTTTTTCAAAAGAAGAAGAAGAAGAAGAAGAAGAAGAAGAAGAAGAAGAAGAAGAAGAAGAAGAAGAGGAGGAGGAGGAGGAGGAGGAGGAGGAGGAGGAGGAGGAGGAGGAGGAGGAGGAGGAGGAGGAGGAGGAGGAGGAGGAGGAAGCAACAGCAATGCAAACTAAAAGTTTCCCCAGGCAAGATATTGAGTTACTGTCAACACCAAAATGTATATTGAACAAAGAATCTTTATATCTGAGCTCTTCACTTAACAGGTCAGATTACATAGCTTCACAATATGGATCGTACCGTAGCTGAAGACATGCATTTAGCTTTGCGTGGGGTTTGTTAGCTTACTCTTAAGAGGTATTTGGAGATGATTGATTTGGGTTTCGCTGGTAAAGGCGCCAATGTAAACGCAAAGAGGCTAAAAGAGTGTATGGTTTTAAAAACCCTTCACTCAAAGTGGAAGTGACTCTACCAGTTCAACCCAAAAAGTGGGGAGAAAGTTAATTCCTCTGCTTTTCTAACCTCTTAAACTGTCGACTGTTGACCTCACCCTATTCCTGAGAGGTCTGTAAGGGGCGTGCATAAGCACACCAACGTGCTTATCGTCCTTGTCCTTCTGTCCCCATTTATTTGTACCCATTTCATTTCATTTTCATTTTCATTTCATTTTATTTGATTTATATACCACCCTACTCCCGAAGGACTCAGGGCGGTGAACAGGCACAAGATAAAAAACATAGAATACAAAAATTTAAGAGCAGAAGTAAAATCAAATTAAATCAATTTAGCCCAAGACAAATTTAAAACCCCAGGTTAAGAACAAATTAAAAATTTACATTAAAAAAAGAATGGGAGAGGATAGGCCGGACCAGCCTGGTGAAATAAAAAGGTCTTGGGAGCGCGGCGGAAGGTGCGTAGATCCAGGATCCTCTGTATCTCCGGGGGGAGCTCGTTCCAGATAGTAGGTGCCCCCACAGACAAGGCTCTCCCCCTGGGGGCCGCCAGCCGACATTGTTTGGCCGACGGCACCCGGAGTAGCCCCTCTCTATGAGAGCGTAACAGCCGGTGGGAGGCCGTTTGCGGCAGCAGGCGGTCCCGTAAATAACCAGGCCCTAAGCCATGGAGCGCTCTAAAGGTGGTAACCAAAACCTTGAAGCGCACCCGGAAGACCACCGGGAGCTAGTGCAGCTCGCGCAGGAGAGGTGTTACATGGGAGCGCCACGTCGCTCCCATAACCACCCGCACGGCCGCACTCTGTGCCAGTTGGAGCCTCCGGGTGCTCCTCAAGGGGAGCCCCATGTAGACAGCGTTGCAGTAGTCCAGGCAGGAGGTGACGAGGGCACGAGTGACCGTGTTTAAGGAGTCCCGATCCAGAAAGGGACGCAACTGGCGAATCAGGCGGACCTGATAAAAAGTCCCCCTGGCCACGGCCGTCATGTGCTCTTCTAAAGACAGCAGTGAATCCAGGAGGACGCCCAAGTTGCGAGCCCTCTCCGTGGGGGCCAGCGATTCGCTCCCAATAGTCAGCAATGGTGTCAACTGACTATTTCCTGTATTCATATCCATGTTTATGCTTATACCTGTTATCTCGTACATGTTTGACTAAATAAATAAATAAATAAATAAGTAAGTAAGTAAATAAGTAAGTAAGTACTTGGGCCTGGTGGCTCAGCAGACCGATAGCATTGTGATTAACACCAGCTGTCTGCAATTACTGCAGGTTTGAATCTTGCCAGGCTCAAGGTTGACTCAGCCTTCCATCCTTTCTAAGATAGGTAAAATGAGGACCCGGTTTGTGGGGGCAATAAGCTGGCTTTGTATAAATATACAAAAGAATGAAGGCTATTGCTTAGCGCATTGTAAGCCGCCCTGAGTCTCCGGAGAAGGGCGGCATATAAATCAAATAAAAAAAAAAAGTAAATAAATAATCCCAAAGGCGCTTTCCCCCCCCCCCCAAAAAAAGACAACTGGACTTTGATTTTTTTTCCCCTTAGCACATGTTTTGCTTCTCATCCAAGAAGCTTCTTCAGTTCTAACTTGAGTTAGTGAAATGTTTTCAAAGGAAACAAACAAACAAACAAAGAAATGGATGATCGAATATCTCCAGAGACATGTCTTTTTTTTAAAAAAATGTTTTAGTACAGTGGTGAAATCCACATTTTTTTACTACCAGTTCTGTGGGCATGGCTTGGTAGGCGTGGCATGGGAAGGATACTACAAAATCTCCATTCCTACCCCACTCCAGGGGAAGGATACTGCAGAATCCCCATTCCCTCCCCACTCCAGAGGAAGGATATTGCAAAATCTCCATTCCCACCCCACTCCAGGGGAAGGATACTGCAAAATCCCCATTCCCTCCCCACTCCTGGGGGAAGGATACTGCAAAATCCCCATTCCCTCCCCACTCCTGGGGGAAGGATACTGCAGAATCCCCATTCTCTCCCCACTCCTGTGGGAAGGATATTGCAAAATTTCCATTCCCACCCCCCTCCAGGGGAAGGATACTGCAAAATCCCCATTCCCACCCCACTCCAAGGGAAGGATACTGCAAAATCCCCATTCCCTCCCCACTCCTGTGGGAAGGATACTGCAAAATCCCCATTCCCTCCCCACTCCTGGGGCCAGCCAGAGGTGGTATTTGCCGGTTCTCCGAACTGCTCAAAATTTCCGCTACCGGTTCTCCCGAACCTGTCAGAACCTGCTGGATTTCACCCCTGCTTTAGTGTCTGACAAACAAACAAGAGGCAAAAATAAAAAGCACATTTCAAGAAATCCCTGTCAATCTTTCTAATTGGAAAGGCTTTGCCTGATTACCTAAACCTTTTGAGTTTGAGTTATAAATTCAAGGGGAGGCTGAAGAGTATCTCATCTTAGACAATAGAACTATCTAGTTTATATTTGTTTTGTTTTGTTTATTTAGACACCGCCCATCTCAGTATGATTCTGGGCGGTTCACAACTACGCAACCAGTAATATAATCAGTTCCCTTTCATTTTTCCGAATAGAAAAGGGGAATTGTTTTTCCTATAAGGAACTAAATATACTCTTTGATGAATGATTAACTTCTCGATCAATTTGCTCATAAATTTAATTGAAGGGAGTTAAGACAAGGATATTCAGAGCTTGGTTTGCCCAGTCTATGCAGACATGATTTATCTAGGCATTTTCTTATTTTTGATGCTTTATGGAACAGGATTGGCTCAGGATCAAACGTAAGTAGTTGCTGCAAAGGGATGTCAGAATTAGACCAAGCTTAATTGCTGGGAAGGGTTAATTAAAACAGGACTTAACCTGAGGATTAACTTGCATAATTAGAGTAGATTTGATGCAAACACGATAAAATCTGACCTCTACCCATTTGTGGCTTTATGCAAATATTGATCTGAGTTACGGCTTCTGATTTTGAGTTTTGAAACCTCCTGTAACAGTTTCTTAGTCCGATAAGTTGTTGAGAAAGCTTTCATTTCCCTGGGTGTCTACTTTGCGAGGCTAACAAATGACCAAATTTCCTCCCTAAGTTAGCCAACTTCAACACTCACTAGGGGCTTTTTTAAAATATAGTTCTATTTTAGAAGCTGTTTGGAAATGCAAGGCTGAAATTGTGAGGCACGTTAACAGAATAACAGAGTTGGAAGGGCCCTTGGAGGTCTTCTAGTCCAACCCCCTGTTCAAGCAGGAGGCCCTATACCAATGATGGCTAACCTTTTTGCTATCGCGTGCCAGGAAGGGGGGGCGGGGGAGGTTTGCGGGCACGTGTGCCCACACCCATAATTCTATGCACCCTGCCCCGCAGATGCAACCCTCCTTCCCTCTGCTCCTAGCACACGATGGCCCGGTAGGTCCGTTTTTCTTTCTCACCTGGCTCCAGATCCTCTCTATGCATCTGGGGAGGGTGAAAACAGCCTTCCCCACCCCATCGGAGGCCCGAAATGGCCCGTTTCCCAACTTCTGGTTGGACAGGAAGTGACTTTTTTGCTGTCCCCAGCCTCCAGAGACTCCGATGCATGTGCACCGGAGCTGAGCTGGCGTGCCAGGCAACATGGCTCCACGTGCCGCCTGTGGCACGCGTGCCATAGGTTCGCCATCACGGGTATAGGATCTCCTGCTTGAGCTGCGGGTTGGACTAGAAGACCTCCAAGGTCCCTTCCAACTCTGTTATTCTGATGGTAATGCCTTCTGTACGACATAATGGATCGAAACGGTGATGATGTCTTTCTGTTGCAGGTACGTCATTTCAGCCCCTAAATTTATCCGTGTTGGAGCCTCTGAGCAAGTGGTAATTCAAGCCTATGGCTACACCCAAGAATTCTCCACCACCATCTCTATTAAAAGCTACCCAGATAAAACAATCACCTATGCCTTTGGTACCATCCAACTGACTCCAGCCAACCTTTTCCAAGGCTCTGTCATCTTAACGGTACGTAATAGAGCACAGCTGACCCGCTTTAAATTGGGTTGTGCCATCCTGCTTGTATTTAAAAGCATTTTCACCCCAAATCTAGGTTCAGCCAAAGGATTTAAGGACCAATGATCCCCAGACACGGGTGGAAACTGTATATCTCGAAGCAACTTCGCCCCATTTTACAAGACAGAAGAAAATGCCGCTTACGTACGATAATGGGTTTTTATTCATCCAGACTGACAAGCCTATTTACACTCCAGATCAATCAGGTAAGTTCTTTTCCTTCGTCTTGCTTTTATTTATTTTATTATTATTATTTTATTAGTTTGATTTATATGCCGCCCTTCTCCGGAGACTCAGGGCAGCTTACAATGCTTTTAAGCAATAGCCTTCATACTTTTGTATATACCTGCTTAGTAGGGCTTTTGCCCCCCCCCCAAGCGGTGTTCTTTTTTATACAAAGTCAGCTTATTGCCCCCATAAACTGGGTCCTCATTTTACCTACCTCGGAAGGATGGAAGGCTGAGTCAACCTTGAGCCTGGTGAGATTTGAACTCGCAGTAATTGCAGGCAGCTGGCAGCTAAATACTACTTTAACAGTAGTTTAGTCCACTGCACCACCAGGCTCCTTAAGTCCCAGTTCTAGATTATCTTAATTCAACAAAAACCAAATCCACATGATGATTAAGAACGGGAAGCTGAGAACTTTATAATCCCTTTCATCATCAGCTTTTAACGGCTCCATAATCCCTTGCGGGGTGGAGTCTGGGTAACTGAATGGAGCAAGCGGAGTGTTTTAATGGCCGGATGCCTTTCCTGTTGCCAATGCGGAGTTTTGTTCAGCAGATGTATCCTCATTGTGCCCAGAGAGAGAGAAATATCTGCCTCTACCTAGGATCGAACTCACAGCCTCCTGGTTCTGAGGTGAGCGCTCCACCTCTAGGCCACCGCACCACTCCAACTTTTATGATCCCTTTGACAGATTAAAAACGTAATCTAAAAAAGATGGCGCCAAAGTTTCACGTCGCCTCTTCTCTTTTACAAGCATTTGGAGTTTTGTAATATTTTCTTCCAATTAGCTGCTTTCTCTTTAGGATCAAGTATGATCCTGTATAAAATCCAAGAGTGAAACTCTTTGCAACTCCATATGAGCAACAGAAGCCTAGTGAAAACAGCTTCTTACTAGAAGGTGGAGATATTAGAAGCTATTCCTCCAAATATGGAATTAGAGACCCATCATAGAGAAAGTCTTGATGGCCAAATCAATTCAACGAACTAAATATAGTCAACCAGCAGTTACAGGAAGTCCTCGACTTAACAACAGTTCATTTAGTCATCCTCTTTTAACAACCACATAATCCCTTGCGGGATGGAGTCTGGGCAACAGAATGGTGGTGAGTGGTCCCTATTTTTCTACTTGCATTTTATTTACCTGCTTTCGAACTGCTAGGTTGGCAGAAGCTGGGACAAGTCACGGGAGCTCACCCCCGTGGCAATAGGGATTCGAACCGCCGAACTGCCGACCTTTCGATCGACAAGCTCGGCGTCTTAGCCGCTGAGCCACCGCGTCCCTTTAAAGCAAACACATCTGTCTTAATCCTTTACAGAAGAGGCATTTCTGCTTTTCCTTCCCTCCAGAAACTCCTTTGATGAGGATGCCTGAATCTGACATATCTGCAGACTTCAGGAATTGCTCATATGGGTTGCAGCTAATTAAAATTAAATGTCATTTTGAATTATCTTTACAGTGAAAGTCCGAGTCTACTCGCTGAATGAAGAACTGAGGCCAGCTCGGCGTGCAGCTGTCTTAACATTTGTGGTTAGTCCATCTTAGCGTGCCTTTATTTACATTTTAAGCCTAAGCCAAACAGGACAATATATATGGTAAAAAGAAATAATAACTGATTAATATCTATGGAGCTTCTCAGTCATCCAAGTCATGGCTGTCCCAGAGGTGCTTTTTCAAAACTTTCTTTGTTTTTCCTTGAAGACAAGAAATGGAAACCGAGTGGAGCATGTGGCCAGTTTTAAGTTTCTGGGTGTTATCATAAAAAGAGGACCTGACCTCACATTGCAGCACTGGTCAAAAGGGCCCAGTAGACATTATACTACCTGAGACTTCTCAGGAAACAACAACTGAATGGAAAACTGCTGGTGAGCTTCTACCGCTGCACCACAGAGAATATTTTAACTTACTACATGTGTATGGTTTGACAATTGCGCAGTGGCAGATAGGATAGCGCTCCAGAGGGTCAACGTCATTGCCCAGACGATCATTGGCTGCCCTCTCTCCTCTTTGGAAAAGCTTTATAGCTCCCACTGTCTTAGGAAAATTCAAAACATTCTTAAAGATCCATCTCACTCTGGGCACCCATTTTTTTTTTTGAACTATTACCATCTGGCAGACGGTACAGGACAATAGGACCTCGGTGCCTTCGGCCGTGCCCTTAAAACTTTCTTTTTTTCAGCAAGCTGGGCTGGCTTAACATATTTTTTAACATATTTTTAAATATTTTTAATTGGCTTGTTATCTTAAATTGGGGCCAAATTAATATATATATATCTTTTTAATTGTTTTTAATGTTTGTATTGGATGTTTTTATCTGGCTGTACACCGCCCTGAGTCCCTCGGGAGAAGGTGCGGTATATAAATTCGAAATAAAATAAAAAAAATAAATATAAAATATAAAATAAAAACAAGGACAAATAGGCTGAAAAACAGCTTCTATCCCAGGGCAGTAACTATATTGAATTCTACTGTATACTGCAATATTAATGCAATATCAGGGGTTTTCAATTCAACTGTATAGAATGTGGAGGAGGTGTGTTTATTTTTTATGTATAATGTACACTGAAGATGGCATTTAATTTTGTTGTATGAGGTGCAATGACAATAAAGTAAGACAAAGTAAAGTAAGACAAAGTAAAGTAAGTAAAGTAAAGTAAAGTAAGACAAGACAAGACGAGACGAGACGAGACATTTTGCTTCTCACCCAAAAATCTTCTTCTATCGTGATGGTAACTGGAAAATCCATCTGCCTTTCGAAAAAGCAACTTTTAGGGATAAAAATCTCCTTCCTACCAAAGCAACATCTTCACTAGCAGTCCCTCCTTTTCAGATTGTGGATCATTATTTATAGATAAAAGGGAATTGGAGACTAAGACTGGAAACATACTAAAGATTATTAAATGTAATTTGATGAAGTTTAAGGATTTGGGCGTCCATGGCATTTTTAAAAAGACGTTCTACATCCGAACAGAAATGAATAATACGTCAACTCTCAATAAAGCTCCACAAATATCTTGTGCTTTTTTTCAAAGTGCTCTTTTGTCTCCCATGAAGGACCCAGATAAAGTAGAAGTGGACATCATACGTGAAGTAGATGCTACCGGAATCGTCTCGTTTCCTGAATTCAAAATTCCTCCATATCCTAAGTAAATCTGTTTACATTTTCAATACAATACCTTGAATTAAATATTAGTTTGCAAGCGAAATGTACAAACACAGCAGAGAAATACTATGGAAACAAATTTGTAGGTATGCAGATTCCTGCATCCAATTAAGAAAATGAACAGAAGGTGAAAATTGTTATTTATTATTTATTATTATTATTTAAATAAAATTATTTAAAATCCGGGCTGCCATGCATTTAAATGGCCACACGATGGCAGCAAAGCATTAGATTTTATATTCCAGCACCTCATCTATGTATTTTGGAGCAGAGAAATAATCAGACCTACCAAAAAGAAAAGACTATTTAAAGATCTACAATTATTTAACTGCATTATGGGATGTCTTGTTATTATTATTTTTTTTTAGGTTTGGTATTTGGACCATTAAAGCCAAGTATGATAAAGAATTCACAACCTCTGCCGTAGCAGAGTTTCAAGTGAAAAAATATGGTAATCTTGATGATTTTACTGGGTTATTACTACACATATTCATGCCATGAGTATTATTATATATTTTATCCCAATATCCCAGTGGTGATCGTGCCTAATATTTCTGCCTTCTATTTTGCCCACAACAACCCTGTGAGGTGGGTCAAGGCAGAAAAAGTGGCTGTGCTGAAGGCATTTGACTCAGCTGGGGCAGTTTGAGAGATAAAACTTGGAGTTAAATATTATGACTGTCAGCTGATGTTGCTTGGAAGCAACAGAAGCTGAATTCCCCATGTAAGATGTTAAATCTTTACCATTTTAATCTATAGTGAGAAGCATTTTCCATCATATACATTTCTCAGGGCCCAGCAGATAAAAAAAGATATTCTTTTTTAATGTAAATTTTAATGTAAATTTTAATTTGTTCTTAACCTGGGGTTTTAAATTTGTCTTCGGCTAAATGGATTTAATTCGATTTTATTTCTGCTCTTAATTTTTGTATTTTACATGTTTTATTTTGTGCCTGTTCACCGCCCTGAGTCCTTCGGGAGTAGGGCGGTGTACAAATTAAATTAAATTAAATTAAAATAAATAAATAAATATCTTCTGTAGAAAATGTTTATATATCTATATCTATCTATCTATCTATCTATCTATCTATCTATCTATCTATCTATATTTACATCTACATCTATATCTATATCTATCTCTATCTATCTATCTATCTATCTATCATCTATCTATCTATCTATCTATCTATCTATCTATCTATCTATCTATCTATATTTGTCATTGAACTGTTAGGAAGGAACTGTCTTTTCTTTTACATTTCAGCCATGCCAAGATTTTCGGTTGAAATTATTCCAGAAAACAGCTTTATTAGCTCCAACCATTTCGAACGCTTCAAGATTACTATCCTTGCTCGGTAAGACCAGATTGTCAATTTTATGAGTTTCTAGAAAGAATGCAAGAGAAGAGAAGAGAAGAGAGAATCATCTTGGTTGCTCTAGAGAAGAGCAACCAAGATGATTTAGGGGACTGGAGGCTAAAACATATGAAGAACGGTTGCAGGAACTGGGCATGGCTAGTCTAATGAAGAGAAGGACCAGGGGAGACAGGATAGCAGTGTTGCAATATTTGAGGGGCTGCCATAGAGAGGAGGGGGTCAAGATATTTCCCAAAGCACCTGAAGGCCAGACAAGGAATAATGGATGGAAACTGATCAAGGAAAGATTCAACCTAGAAATAAGGAGAAATTTTCTGACACTGAGAACAATCAACCAATGATCGTTGCCATCAGAAGTTGTGGGAGCTTCATCCCTGGAAGCTTTCAAGAAGAGACTGGACTGCCATCTGTCAGAAATGGTGTAGGTTCTCCTGCTTGGACTAAATGATCCCTTCCAATTCTGTTATTCTAATGTTTGTGTTGCTTTGGTCTCTGCCTTCAAGGTATTTTTACAAGAAGAAGCTGAGCGAAGCCGAAGTTTACGTCCGCTTTGGAATCATTCAAGGATCCCAAAAGAACATGTTACCCAAATCGTTGCGTCAAGTTCACGTAAGCCTGGAATGAGACCACCTCCCCCCACCATCAAGCCTCTTCCCTGTTCTAGATTCAGGGTTCTAGGTTTATCTTGGCAAGGGGAGGGGGCAACATCTAGGTTTCTACTTTGAATGTCACAGTCATAAGACAACATTTGGAACAGAAATTTAGCTCTAAAAATCCACGTCTTCTCCGTACGTGATTTGTTCTCCATAGAATAAAATGTTTGTTAGCAGAGCTGTGTCACTTTACATTGGAACTGTTTATAAATAATATGGACCAGGTTTTTTTTTAAAAAAAAAACACACAGAAGAAGGCGCCAATTAAATCTGTTTTGAGACTGACACCTTCTGCCTACTAATCGTAAAGTGAAGCAGGACCAATTAGGGAACATGACACTTGGATGCAACCCAGATCTTCTCACATGGCATTTTCAAGGCTTTATTGTGTCTAAATATGCGCGCGAAGGCTGTTTGTTATCTCTGGGCAGGAAAAACCTCTCAGCCTCTGATGTAGATATGGGTTATCTGCAGTTCACAAGCCCCAAACATTTTGCCCAGTTCAACTTAGGTAGCTTCCAGACCAGATTTTACACCAATAAAGGAGGAAACCCACTGTCTGTATCCAAAATCACTGGGTTCAAGACCGCAACAGATTGCTAATTTCTTGCCTTGTTCCTAATCTTCAGATGGACGAAGGTGTTGGGGTGCTTTATTTTAATAGCCAAATAGCTATCCGTGAATTGGGATACAGTGAGCTCTCAGATATCGATGGGGCCACCCTCTATATCGCAGCTTCAGTGCTGGAGACCAGAGGTAATTGTCTGTCTGTCTGTCTGTCTGTCTGTCTACTTATCTATCTTTATTCCATCCATCCATCCATCCATCCATCCATCCATCCATCCATCACCTATTTCTCTCTCTCTCAATTATCTATCTATCTATCTATCTATCTATCTATCTATCTATCTATCTTTTTCTTTCTTTCTATCCATCCATCCATCCATCCATCCATCATCTTTCTCTCTTTCTTTTTCTCCCTCAATCATCTATCAATCTCCATCCATTCATCCATCCCTCTCTTTCTCAATTATCTATCTATCTATCTATCTATCCATCCATCATCTTTCTCTCTCTCTCTCTCTTTCTTTCTCCCTCAATCATCTATCAATCTCCACCCATTCATCCATTCCTCTCTTTCTCAATTATCTATCTATCTATCTATCTATCTATCTATCTATCTATCTATCCATCCATCCATCCATCCATCCATCCATCCATCCATCCATCACAGTAGTACTTAGACTTATATACCACTTCACAATGCTTTACAGCCTTCTCTAAGCGATTTACAGAGCCAACATTTTGCCCCCAACAATCTGGGTCCTCATTTTACTGATCTTGGAAGGATGGAAGGCTGAGCCAACCTGGAGCCAGTCAGGATTGAACTCGTGGCAGTGGGCAGTGAGTTAGCCTGCAATACTGCCTTCTAACCACTGCACCACCACGGCTCATGTAACACATGAGTTTTATTTCCATAAACCTTTCACCCCAGCTGATTAATTAATAGAATAGAATTCTTTATTGGCCAAGTGTGATTGGACACACAAGGATTTCGTCTTTGGTGTATATGCTCTCAGTGTACATAAGGAGAATAAAATACATTTTTCAAGAATAAAACGATACAACACTTAGTGATAGTAAAGGTTACTAATAAGCTATCAAATCATACTAGGAAACAAGTAAAAACAATATAAATTGAAAGATACAAGCAACATGGTTATAGTAATAAAGGGGAAGAGATAGATACCAGGAAGGAAGGGAAGAATAATAGTAATACAGTCTTAGTAAATTATTTGATAGAGTTGTGGGAATTAATTAGGGCAGGGGTGAAATCCAGCAGGTTCTGACAGGTTCTGGAGAACCGGTAGCGGAAATTTTGAGTAGTTCAGAGAACCGGCAAATACCACCTCTGGCTGGCCCCAGAGTGGAGTGGGAATGGAGATTTTGCAATATCCTTCCCCTGGAGTGGGCTGGGAATGGAGATTTTGCAGTATCCTTCCCCTGCCATGCTCACCAAGCCACGCCCACCAAGCCACGCCCACAGAACCGGTAGTAAAAGGAAATTTGAATTTCACCACTGAATTAGGGCATTCATTAGACTTTAATATCACATTTGGTTTTTCCCCCCTTTTGTTTGCATTCTACATCATCAGAGTCCTTCAGACCTGTTCAGTAAATAAAGGAGATTTTTTCCTGGTCAAAGGAAAAGCAATATTTCTTTAACTGAAAGCATCCAATCCTTTCTTCTGACAGATGGCCACAGTGAAGATGCTGAACTGACCACCATTAAATACACCTTGTCCCCTTACAAGTTGGATTTGATTGCCACGCCTCTTTTTGTGAAACCCGGACTTCCTTATTTCATTAAGGTGAGTCAAACCCGATGAAGTTCTCAGTTGGGTCCTGCTTCGCTCACCTTTTGTGGTTTTCTCTTGTGAGATTTCTCACCTGCCAGAATACAAGAGCCTTGGTGGCGCAGCGGACTAAGTGCTGTTATGTAGCACTTAGCTGCCAGCTGCCTGCAATTAGTGCAAGTTCAAATCTCACCAGGCTCAAGGTTGACTCAGCCTTCCATCCTTCCGAGGTAGGTAAATTGAGGACCCGGATTGTTGGGGGCAATAAGCTGACTTTGTAGAAACACCGCTTATGGGGGGGGCCAAAAGTCCTACTAAGCAGGTATATGCAAAAGGATGAAGGCTATTGCTTAAAAGCATTGTAAGCTGCCCTGAGTCTCCGGAGAAGGGCGGCATATAAATAGAAATAATCAATCAATCAATCAATCAATCAATCAATCCAGATAGAGATGAGTGATTTGCTGATAAATTTGTCTCAGGCACATCCCAGTTAAAATAAGGCTGTACAACATCATTTTTTTTTTAAAAAAAACATAAGGTACAAGATTAAAACAATCTTGCCCTGTTTTGGTAAGGACCTGTGATCACAGGTTATTAACTGAGATATAAAAATATTCAATGCAATAATTGAAGAACATCCGTTTGGCAAATTGACCCAACCTGATTTAGAAAGGACAACTTTAGCTGTAAACTTGTGAGTCTTTCTTACCGCCCATAGCTTTGTACCTTGGTGGAGGTAAGATAAGCCTGTTGCTAAGGATAATAAGGATATGGTTTCTATTATTATTATTATGAGCAGTGTTGGTTAAGATTAGATCATAAGCAAACATTTTTGTGTAAACAGGCGCGGGTGAGGGATATGTTGGACATGTCGATTGGCAACGTTCCTGTGGTTCTCAAAGCTACTGCCTTGAACGACCAACTGGAAGAGACCAGATTAATCGAAGAAGGCTCAGACTTTGGGTCTGGTTTAACAAGCTCAAGAGATGGAACAGCTATCTTTACAGTTAACATTCCTTCCGACACCAAAGAATTGGAGTTCAAAGTGAGTGAAATATTTCCTTTCTCTGATCTAGAACCATGGAGGTTAGAAATTCTGTTTTTACATAGTACCATAGAGCAAACAAAACAGTACAGTCACCATGTGCTTTACTGCTTAACTATTTTAACTGTAACAGGAGAAAAAAGAGCATAGAGTATATATACCATAGATCAGTGGTGGGTTGCTCCTGGTTCGGCCAGATTCGGGCGAGCCGGTAGTGGTGATGATGTGACGTCTCTATGACTGTGAGCTGGGCCTGCCCGCCCATTCGCCCCCGTGTTATACCTACCTTTATTTGTTGCTTTTTAACCCAGCTGATAGGTGCGGCAGAGTGGATTGCTGCACCTTAGCTGCGCAGAAATCTAATGCGCTTGCGCAGCGCGCAAGTTCGGTGCGTGTGCGAGCAAAGCGAGTATGTACGTGGCGATCGCGCAGAACGTGTGAGCGCAAAGAGAACCGGTCGTAACACTGGTTGGAATCCACCACCGCCATAGAACCAAACTTGTAAACACTGCCGTCTACTGGCTGAGTAGTTGTTGCATAGAAATACATTCCACCGATGAATTCCAACAAAACTAAACGTGTTTTGAGGTTTTTAAGAAGAGACTGGACAGCCATTTGTCCAGAACAGAGGGTTGGATTAGAAGACTTCCAAAGTCCCTTTAAACCAGGAGTGAAATGCTACTGGTTCGCTCCGGTTCGGGTAAACCGGTAGTGATAAAAAGCTACCAGTTCCTCCGAACTGGTATTTCCGACGATCAGCTGTGCCGCGCGGTTTCTAGCAAAGCTAAACCGCGCGGCACAGCTGATCCCCCCCCTTGCTGTTCTACTTACCTTCCCAAGCTTCCTTTTGGTGCGCACTGCACATGCGCACGCAGCGTGTATTTTGTTCCCGGCAGCACTGCGCATGCAGCGTGCGTTTGGCACATGGTGCGCGTGCACGGCCAGCAAACCGGTTCCGATTTCACCACTGCTTCAAACTCTGTTATTCTGCATTCATGTCCTCTGTTGTGTTTTGATTTTTTTCTTAGATAACAACGGCAGATAAATCTTTACCCGAAGAGAATCAAGCCAGTGAAACTTATGAGGCCAAATCCTATGTTTCTCTCAGTGGAAGCTATTTATATATCAACTGGGCTTCAGACCACAGAGTCCTCCAGGTTGGAGAGACTGTGCACCTCAAAGTACACCCGGCAAGCCATTACATTGAAAAAATACTACACTACAGTTATCTGGTACGCCTTGTAAACATAATTTAACTTTCCCTAAGAGGTCCCTAAGAGGTTGAAGCTCTGGAATGTCATCATCTTCCCTCCTTTCTTTTAGATCTTATCCAAAGGGAAGATAATCAAATACGGGACTCAGGATAAGATCCAAGGCTTGTCTTATCAAGGGTTGACCCTCCATATAACCAAAGAAATGGTCCCTTCAGCCCGTCTTCTGGTCTACTACATAGTCACGGGAGAAGGAACCGCAGAGCTGGTAGCCGATTCGGTCTGGTTAAATGTCCAGCAGAAATGTGGCAACAACCTTGAGGTGAGCAGAACCCCATCTTTGGATATACCGTATTTTTCGGAGTATAGGACACACTTTTTTCCCCCCTAAAAGAGGGTGAAAATTTGGGTGAGTCTTATACACCGAATGTAGCCAAAAACGTAAGGCGATGGTCTGTGGCAATCCCTGCAGCCTGTAACAGCTGATTGGGGGTATTCCAGGAGGCTGATCCACCTGCCAATCAGCTGCTCGTGCTGAATCAGGCTGCAATAATGTGTTGAAGCTGACCTGGCTGTTCGCTATTTGCTGCAAGGATGTGTCAGAGTTTGCAGCAGCAATCACATCCAGAGAGCCCGCACAAGTAACTGATTCAGCAGGATTCAATAACTTCTCTTTATATATAATCCAACACATGAAGTAAAATATACGATACCAAAAGCAGGTTTTCCAAGCAAAACACAAGCAGAGGAGAGGAGTTTCAGTTTCAGTTTTGAGCAGCAGACTAGTTTGCAGCTTTAGCACAGACTCAGGGCTGCAGAGCTAAGCCAAGCCCAGGCTCCTTGCTGTCTCCTTCCTTGTTGCTCACACAGCAAATACTGTTTCAGTTTCCAAACAGCCCTCAACTCCCTCACACACTGACAGAATGCTAGCCAGATGAATATTGATGGATGCTGGTAGGCAGAGGCAGATTTTTTTTTCTTATTTTCCTCCCCAAAAACTAAGGTGCATCTTATATTCCGGAGCGTCTTATACTCCGAAAAATACAACATGTATCCCACCAAACTCCAGAATCTCCTGAAGACCTCTTGAATGTCCTTTTCCGTGTCACATTTGACCTTCTCGCCGTTGCAGGTCCGCATCCTGAAAAACGGAAGAGTTTACCAGCCTGGAGAAGCTGTGTCACTTTCCATGACCTCCGAGTTTGACTCCCTGGTGGCTCTTTCAGCCATGGACAAAGCGATTTATGGAGTGACGGGAAGCAAGCAGAGATCTATGGAAAAAGTTACGTCAGTGTCAGGGTTCCAAGTAACACCCCCAATGAAAGAAGACTCCGAAGCGTGAAGTTCCTCAAAAGTTCCATTTTATTAGAGCTGTCATATTGGCACATCTGGGAAAACCCGAATCTGAAAGCTTCCATGTTTTCCCCACCCAACAGAAAGTCCAAGTCCCTGCCCAACACCCACATGTCCATCACGTGGTCCAATCCAAACATCGTCCCAACTGGAGATACCTCCCAGTTCCATCCCTCCAGGTGCAGGGCAAGATTTCCTTGACTCTCTGAGAAAGGAATGTTATTTTGACTACATATCACCCATGCTCCATACAATTGCCCCCTCCCAGTTTTCCACAGCACTAAATGTGGCAGGCCTGAAGGCCCAATGCAAAAGACGGCTTCCAGGTCTGACAGCCAGGCTGAAAGGAAAACATTTGGCGTTCCTCATGCCTCCTTAAAGGGGACATGATGGCTCAGTGGCTAAGACGCTGAGCTTGTCGATCGAAAGGTCTACAAACTCACTTAACAAAGGTCTCGCTTAGTAACAAAAAATCGGGGCTCAGTGGTGGTCTTAAGTCAAGGACGACCTGTACGCTGATTTGTTACAATCTCTTAATGTGGTGATCAAAAAAAAAAAAATCCCGATTCAGATTAACAGAGTTGGAAGGGACCTTGTAGGTCATCTAGTCCAACCCCTGCAAAGTGACATCGTTTTAATCATTTTTAGTCCTTTGGAGTCACGTATTTGGGGTGAGCAGCCTACAAATTGACTAGCTAATTCTCTTAACTTTGAAATAATACAAAATACTTGCAGCTCGGGTTTTAGATTTCGGCAAGGGTTGGCCTCCCCCAAGCTTGTTTCAATTTAGTTTCCGAACGTTGACGTTAGCAGAAATCCTGCTGATGACGTTACCTAGAATGGTCACGAAACGTTCAGAAACTCAATTGAAGCAAGCTTGGAGAGCCAACCTAATTCTCCTCACTTTCCAACGTTGCTGAAGGGATTGCCAAACGTTTACACAACATCGGGAGAAAGCAAGAATACACACTCCATTTTGCTAGGGGGAAGCTTAAGGATCGACAACACGACCCCTGCGGTGGTATGTGGAGGGAGGGCATAGGAAGAGCTGCCCCCATTGTGTTCGCTTTAGCACGCGCTCCTGGTTCCGTCGTGAATTATTTTGACGAACGCGGGTGTGAGAAATGGAAGGGATGGAATCTCACCTTCCAACGTGTCTCCTACTCCGCAGGCTCTCCTTAAACTGGAAAAAAGTGATCTGGGCTGTGGGGCCGGAGGAGGAGAGAACAATGTAGATGTTTTCCGGATGGCCGGCCTCACCTTTCTCACCAACGCCAATGCTGATGACCCCAGAGAGGAAGGTGATGACATGTTTCCTTTTAACCATGATATAACTGTCCGTAAACCTTCAGTCGTTAAATGCAGACGGGTAGCATCTGATTTCTAATTTGCTTCCTCCTCCTCCTCCTCCTCCTCCTCCTCCTCCTCCTCCTCCTCCTC